CCCCCCCCCCCCCCCCCCCGCGTTGACGTGAAACGTCAACATTGCACGCTGAATCGCTACACGCTCGCATTCAGAAATCGATCCAGCCAGGGAACTACCGCCTTTGCCAGAACCCTGCATTGTTGACGCAACCTTCTGCCCGCACCAGCGGCCTTAGACAGAAAAAATAGTTGGAACGTTCCAAACCCACTTTGATGCTCGTGTTGCCGGGGAGATATCCCGCCGTCGACAAGAACACATGCTTTGGCGAGTCTTCCCCCCCGTAGCCGAACTTGCAGGTGTCCGCTCCGATGTCTCCCACGATGGTCGCTACCTCATCTGCCGGCAAGAAGCCGCCCACCAAAACGAGCATCGTTCGTTTGTTCGTAGGCACTGCAGCAGTTGTGTAGCTCGTATAGCTCTCGCAACAGATCGCGAGGCGGTTTGAAATACGCGGACGGCGGCCACGCAATATGTAACGCGCTTGAAGTGATACCAGAATGTACAACAACAGCGTAGCCGATGTACTGTAGATGGCCTGCTTCAGGCGAATAGATCATCGTACGCGTACGGGCGTCGAATCTGTCGAGCACGCTTGCCGTGGTCTTGTCCCACCACCTTTACTGTGTGCAGCAGACAGCCGGTAGTTTCAGCCACTGTGCGCATGTATAGAATGAGAGTCGAGAAGGTTCGATACAACGGGATGTGCTCTGCACGGTTGCACCCCCCAAGATCTGTATCCTACTCCTACACAGCAGCATCTACACCAACCACAGCGTGTTTGCTTGCTTGCAGAGGAGAGACGGCAAAATATGAGCCTGGGTTGTGCACAAAAAATTGGATGCTTCGTGGGACGTAGCGCCACGACTAAGAACTGCTGCTGTGGCTTGGCTGCGCTGATGGATGGCCTAATCTCTCTCTCTCTCTCTCTCTCTCTCTCTCTCTCTCTCTGGTGCGTGTGGTCCTGCCCTGCTGCTGCTGCTGCGATCCAACACGATGCAACGGCCGACTGCCGTGGATCTCTCACTCCGCCAAAGCGTGAGGTGTATACATCCCGCGGAGTGTCTTTCATTTCTGCAGCTGCAAGTGATGCTACCGTTGGCGGCAGCAGCGGGAACACAATCGCAACTGGACGGTCCACTAGTGTGATGAGGAAGGTGGCCGCTTATTCAGCTTGGTTGCATGGATGATGGGAAGCGGCGCAACCATTCTCATCTCGGGGGCCAAAGGGCCAAAAGAGAGTCTCCTGAATAGGCATCGTGCTTGCTTGCGAGCTTAGGATGCCCAGGTGTATGGAAGGCAAATAGGCTACACGCTTGTACATTAGATAGTTCGTAAGGTGTCCATGTGTGTACTCACCTCCACAGTACATGGTCAGCTCGTGAAGCGAAGCGCACACAGGCAGGGAATGTCTTTGTGTACGCGGCGAGACTAGGGGGCACGCAGCCGCGAGACCTGCTGTAACACGCCCCCTCCCAGAAAAAATGCGGTCGAGGGGTCATCGACCCGACAACACAAAAGATACAAGATCCAATGCGCAACGTGTGCCCAATGACAGACGCTACCGCGGGGGGATCACTCATGGTTCCTCCTGCGCCGCGCGAGAACCCTGATCTGTCGAAAGATATTCTCAGGAGTGCAGCGCGCCGGATACTACAGCTGGCGGCAAGGGACGGCGACGGGGATGGGCTTACGAATAGAAAGCAAGAGGAGAGGTGGTGCCATATCGTCAACAAGGTATGGCGCGCTATCGGCCTCACGATCGAGCATTCTCTTCTATCCGCCGCCCGCGGGGTTCGCATCGAGTCCCTCGGAACCTTCTCCCTCAACGCCTTGGGCCGTCCCCGGTTCTTCCTTTCTGCCGATTTTGCCGCCAGGCATCGCCTCCTGAAGTACGACGTGTGCTCGGGGGGATGCCTCGCCGGGGGATCTGTCAACACCAGGCTCAACGTCGCGAGGGTGGCGGCCACAGCAGGAAGTCCCCGACCCGAGGCAGAACGCGCTGTGAACGCTGTTCTGCGTTCTCTGCACCAGCGCCTAGCGACCGGAAGATCCGTGACGCTTTCGTTTCACCCCGTCGCGGAGTTCTCATGCACCCCCTCCAGGCAGGCGACAATGCGGTTTCTGTCCGGGTTTCGTACGAAGCAGAAGAAAATGGCAGGGGATGCCACCCGCGTTCGCGTGGGCACGGCAAGAGCCAGCCCATCAACAACGCCCTGGGCAAGTGCCGCTGCTGCTGCGGTCGCACATGGGAACGTACGTGGAACTAGTAGCGTTGGTTGCAAACACGTACCGGCGGCAGAACCTGACACCGGTCGCGCTCTCCAGGATTCTGTGGGAAGGAAAGGCGACTCGGTTGGACGACGACCTCGTTCGTCGAACTCAACGAGGTCCATGCAGCCAGAAAATAAAATCAAAGCTGCCGATCGTCCAGACACCTCCATTGGGTTTCATGACAGAAGACGGCCATCACTGACACCGAACAGCAATGCTGCATCAAGCACAAATATACAGGCAACCTCTATCTCATCGCCTGTCCAACGCTCCGCCGTGATGGAAGCAGAAGTCAATGCGGCGAATGGCACTCCAGCCAGCTTCGGTGGCAGCCACACCCACAGCGATACTCGGTTTCTCACAGCACAAGGCATACCCTACCCTTCTCCTGGTCTTTTGCCTGATGGACAAGAGGGCTGTCATCACGGGAGCGACAAAGGCTCAAGCCGTGGACCCAGCGACGTCGTCAATGAAATCGAACATTGTGTACAGGACGAGACCAACGACCTGAGTCCAGCACATCAACAAGCGAATCCCTGTAACAGCAAATCACGAGTGGGGCTCGTAGAACATCGACAAGAACATCCTCGGCATCACCCAGAAGAACATTTGTCGAGTCTACTCCGGCGACAGACATTGGCCCAGGCGGGAGAGGAAGGACTTCGCCGTCTCTTTGAGACCCTGAGGCTGACCCACGTAACAGACGACCGCCGACGTAAAGACGGCGGCGGTGTCGGGCGTCTGTCTAGCAGAGACTTGCTCCTAGTTCTTCGTGACGTTGGTACAACGCTGACCTCTGCCGAGCTAGCGGAAACTACGAAATTGTTTCGGCAGCAGCAAGATGGTCGCGTCTCGCTGCCAGTCCTCCTGGCCGGGATAAGAACAGAAAGCTGTGGACGACAGTGGCGTCAGCAAGCAGCAACGGCTAGTTTCATCAGCGAGGAAGATATGCAACCTTCCTCAAATGTTTTGGGTACAACGGAGGTCGACACAGCGCGGGGATTGCCTATTGAAGCTTCTCCACAACGATTTCCATCGGGACTACCATGGGAGAATTCCGAGCATGAAGCGGAACTGTCAAAGTCACATTTTCCTCGTGCCGGTTGGGTAAGCAACAGTGAAAAAGGAAACTCAACTGCGTTGTTGAGCACTCCGCGACTGAGTGCTTCCTCTACTATTTGTAAACTCCTTCAGAGGAAAACGGTAGCAGTAGAAGAGCGGGCACGTAGAAACGCTGGCCGACCGCAGAGTCAAAACACCGAAAGGATTATTGACGGCCTTCATATGCACAGGGCGCCGCCAGGAGGGAAAGGGGATCAGTCAGGTGGTGGCTGTAATAAGCATGCCAACAAGGTTGTCGTCGATAGCAGCGCAGAGCTACTAGTGGGGCAGGATCCGGATTCGGGCCCTTCTGCTGTGCCGCAGCAAGCACGTCGCCAGTGCTGGGGCGATGATAATATTGGTGGTGGAAGGGCCTGTGCTGTGGCTACTGCTTCTACGGCTGCGCCAGAGGACGACATAGCGGATCTAGCGAGAATCGTGTTCAACCCGCCGTGTTCCCTGGAAGGACTTATACATATTCTTGAGGCCAACAAGGTGTGTTCTGCGCCAAAGAATAGTACTTGCAAAGAGCTGCGTGATGCCTGAAGCGAGAATTCCCAAGCATGGAAGGGTACGCGCGAAAACTCGATAAGTCGTGACCCTTTCAACGATGCAATCACTTTCTTACAGTCTGCCCCCGTCCCACTTCATGCTCAGTCTAGTCTGTCGTGTTATGCAGTTCGTTCGGTTAAGAGCAAGTTTGGCGCTTGTCCTCGCCTCCCGCAGATCAACGAACAACCGACAATCTCCTGCGCTGCCTTGGGAGCACGTTTAGTCCAACTGCGCCCCGGGCTCGGAAAAGCGAGGGCTAAGCAGTTGGCTTTCGCAGCATGCCGCTTCCCTGATAAGCAGGTGGGGCTATCATAATCTAAGCACTCGGCGTTTGACGCAATGTTCAAAATATAGATAGGTATCAGCGCAAGAAAATGGTTCTGCGTGATGTGCATCCCATATACGGCAGTACAGTGCATCCACCTGCCTGGTAGGTTCTTGCATTTCACGAACGAACCTAGCCTCGCAGTCATCGCCATATCCACAGCTCTTGCTGGTTTGAAATCACAACGTCGTGTTCTTGACGGGGCAGCTTTTGTTGCTTGCGGGCTCATGGTGGTATACACTTAGGCGTTTTTCTTCGTGCGTCGGCGCATCTAGGAAACGGATGTAGCCTACACGTCGGCCACAATGTGCCAGAAGATGAAGCCACACACAGAGTTATATAATCGTACGCATAACGTCGACGAAATAGCCAGCAAGAGTGTGGTGTTCAGAGTAAGTAAAGTACAGACTAGAAGAGCAAACTGCATCCAACAAGACCTCGTCACAAAGGGTGTTCCCGTTTTCATATTTATGGTACTATTGTCAACCTTTTCTCCCGCGGTTGTGGTTCTTTTATCTCAAGGGAGCCCAAGTTTTTCTGTTCCCGTTTTCATCAAAGTTCTGATACAAAGGAACCGCTCTGGATTGTTGCTGCCGCTATGCGCTTGTGGGTCTCCTGTTTGTTGTGGTCGTTGCCCACGTTCTTCGTATCGCCTCTCACAGGTCTACCTCGAAGAGATGCACGCAGTGTTGGAACGTCGCTTCGGCCGCTGCCGGTCCAGCGGCCGAGACTCCTTCGGCGGACGACACGCATCAAGATGCGCTGCTACTGCAAACCCTTACGGTGTCCACGATGTCAGTAGCGCTTTGGCGAAGGCCTCCACGACGGGAGCGACGGTTTCGTCGTCGTCGTCTTCCTGCGCCGTCCTTAAAAGAGTCCGGCGGAAGCTGCTTGTCGGGATGGGGGGGTTGGCCCGTCTGAGGGCCGCCCTTTTTTCTGTCGGCGGCGGCGACGGCGGCGGTCACGGTGACGGCGAGAGGGGAACCCTCACCAAGGTGCGACCCCGCGGTGTACTGATAGCTCTGATCTGAATGAAACACCCGACGATTTTGATTTAAAGTGACCCATGGATGTTTAAGCTTCGTCGCGCGGTGCACAAATGAAACCACTTATATTCCACCGTAGATTATGTTGTACCATTGTTGGTTCTACCTACGCTGTGGTCTTGCTTTTTGAACGAAAGGTCTCCGATCCAGGGTCACGCAGAAGATTTTCTCTGCGCCGCATGCCTTTGTCGTTTGACCTGTAGAAGGGTTCAGCGGTTCCCTTCCTCAGGTGATTTTACTAACCCTTGTTTAGAGAGCTACCCCGCACGGGCCGCAACGTTTCCCTCCTGAAAAAAATTTGGATCCTTTGTGCTTAACAATGACAACATATGACAGGACGAGTTGCGGCGTGCACTAACGATGACCAGGAGCGCAGGATCCAGTCCCCTTTCCACCAAAGACGTGGACGATCTGGTCACCATGTTTTCCGGCCGAACTCCCTCGGGCGGTGTTGGCGGAGGAAGGGTGGACGCAGTGACCGTTTTTCGCGGTCTGCGGGGAGAGCTGAGCCCATTCCGTGAGAAGGTCGTGCGGGACGTGTTCAGCAGCCTGCTCAGGAGCAGCAGCACAAGCCCCAACGAAAATACCAGCGACCGCAGCAGGAGTTTGATAGACGTCGAAGAGCTACGAAAAGCACACCACAGCGGCAGTGGCAGTACCGACGGCGGGGACGGCAGAAGGTGTTTCCTTCAGAAGGAAATCTCCGGAAGCACCAGCAAACCGGGCGGCGGAAGCAAGTCAGGTCCCGGGGAACGGTGTTCCTCTTTGGAAGATGGTACTGGGCCAGGGTGTACGGAGGGCGTCCCACCCCAGGCGGCAGCACTTTCTGAGGTTGTGGAGAGCAGGGACACGGCGAGAGGACGGAGAACGGTCAAAGGAGTTTCCCTCGAGCAATTCCTAGAATACTACAGGTGCGACAAAATGTTGAGTTTGTTTACCAGGAGCGGTTGCGATCCGTTATTGCTATCCTAATGATGATGGCAATAATTTTTTGATGAATGCTTCAGCCCTTATCGAGGAAAGCTTACTACGCATTTGGGGATAAGGTTGAATTTGAAACGTTTCCTAGGCAGAAGATGGTGTGCAAACAGCAACACGCACGTTTGCGCCCTGAAGATGTTAAAGACGTGCTGCACCAACATGCAACTACGAAGGAGACTGTTGGTTACTCGGCTAAGGGAAGGGTGATGTGCCGGGTGGGCGACCACTCTCCTCTTCTCATTTTTCGGAGAATACTGAACCGATCGGACTATCGTTCTTAAACTGCGCCCAAAACTCTTCGTACGAGTCCAACACATCGCTGAGCTTGAATCAGCGTTGACGGTGGAAGTCGCTGGGCACATGTACGACCTTGTCAGCATTGGCAATCCCGCTTGTGGAGCCGTCGGGCGGGGAAGCCCCCCCCCGGAAGAAATGTACTTGTAGCATTATATGTTCGAGCTGTACCGAGAAAGAACCTTCCACTTACTGTATGTAACACGATGAATCGGTGCAGTGGCAGAATTTTCGCGGAGACGCCCGTCATGGGTCACATAGTTGGGTGAAAACAAGTAGAAAGCACTGTTGTTGATTCCCTATACTCCATGCACGCAGAAGCTACCTTTGAGCACACCATAGCATCCCCTGCTTACCCACCCCTCGCCCCTGGACTTCCCAATTTCTTCCCTCGTCCAACTACCGTCTGTCCATTTTGAGGTAGCCTAATGATACCACCCCGCTTCCGCCCCTCCCAATAAACCACCCGAATACTGTTTCCTCCGACCAAAAGAGATGTGAGCGCCGGTATTGACGGCGACGACGCTTTCGAAGCCAAGGTTCGCGCTTCTTGGCCCTTACGACGCCCCCTTTCCCAGACTAAGCGACGCAGCGATGAAGCTTCATCTACAGCAGCATCTGGCGAGCGAGGCAGCGACCAACAACAACGAAATGCAACGGAAAGTGCACCCTCCTCACTTCGCCGCCTAGGCGGCCGGCAACAAGCTGGCCGCGGGGATTCTGACCTCGCCGAACCATGTAGGGCCGTTGCGGCTGCCGAAAACAAGCGATCCACGGCGCTCGGCGGAAGGGGCGGGAAAACCAGTTGTAGGCAAGCCGCCGCCGTTCGCGTGCAAGCATTGTTTCGAGGCCACCGAGGAAGGGAGTGCGCGGCGGGGGAGGGTAGGAAAAGGGCGAGGCGACTGGCCGCAGAGAGGGCAGCCGAGGAGGAACGACAGCGGCCGCGCGCGGTAGCGACTCGTCGAATGGGGGGTCGGATCTTACGGCCGAAGGGTGTTAGCACGTACGGTTTTTGAAGGGGGGGATTTACTCTCTGTTCGAGCACTGTCCCAAAGCGATACGCCAGTAGAAGTAGAGATGACAGCAAAAGGTGTTCGACTCGAAGACACTCACATCAGATAAGTGTCCTTGCGCATGTTGAAAAAATGTGTATCTGAGTGGGAACCTATGTAGTTGGTGTAAGTACTCGGATCAACCTACTGGAACAACACTCGGGTCTGCAGGTTGAACAAATACGCAGGGTACAGAAACTGCACCATTCGCATGCATACAACAAAATTCTGTGGTAGTGTACCCCCGACCAAGATTGTCCACCCGTACGGGCATGTTTTGTCTTGTGCAGACATCGTCAGGATGGAACAACCTCCACCGTCATGCATCGCAGTGACCCCAAACGAGAAGTTATGCCACAATTCGAACACTGTGTTTACGTATAAACGTGCGATGGAAGGACCCGCACGTATACGCCCAAAATCCGAACGACCGCTGTTCGATTGCATAATCTCGCTTGGCTTTTTCTCTGTAACGTTAACTGAAGGAAACCCTACCGTGGCAAACGCCATCTCTCTAGACAGCGTAACGTCAAACCTCAACCCTCATCCCTTTCACCGTTGTCGCTGAACACAAGAACACCAACGTAGTCTAAACATTGGGGGAGAAAGAAACAAGAAACTTACAAGGTTTTCTCTCCCCCCCTCATTTCTTCGCAACACCATTGAAGGAAACTCGACAAGAACAACGCATCACAAATACTGCTTTAGTAACGGGTCCACCTCCTGAGCCGCCAGTCGCAACGCTACCGGCAACCGCCGCAACTGCTCCGTAGCAGTATCTCGCACACGAGAATGCACGAACATCACCATATCCGACCAAGCGCGCCCGTTCATGAGAGCGCAGACCGCTTGCCCGTTCTCTGACATGGTAGTATGCACAGCCGCGGTATAGTGAGATAGCGCTACAGTCAGCCACACCCCAGGCGTACCCGGCACTTGTTCCAACAGCAGGCTGAGGATGTCAAACACTGCCAGAGATCTCCGTAGCCTTTCGATAGGACCAGTGTTGGAGCTAGAGGGTGTCAGACAAGGCGGTTCGGCCAGGCGAGCAACGAGGTGCGGCGCATGACCGAGCAGGGCCACCGCCAGAGACACCCCGAGGAATGACTCGAACGCATCTGTGCGGTCCACCCCGCCGAAAGAATCCCCGTTGACGCCACAAGCAGAAGGGGCTCGGATAGATCCCAGCTCTGTGACCAGAGTTCCGAGAAGCACGCCAAGTGACGTGACGGCAGGCTCCGCCAGACCGGGCCCGTACACCGGCTCCAATACACGCGAGACCCAGGCTCTGCTATTTCCTTTCCCACACAAACCGATTTCTTCGGCGAGGAGCGTGTCCCCATCGCACCCAGCTGAAACATGCCCCGGTGGCGCGCCCTGTGCAGTTTTGGCCCGCTTGGTCTTTACCGATGGAGAAGACGCAGCTCCGCGGGGACGTTGCGCACGCCGCCGAATTTCTGCCGCAGCGTAAAAAACGCCGACTAGAACTTGCGCCGATGTGTGGGGCAGGGCGGCGGATGCGTCGCGAAGCTGATCTTGGCAGAGCCCCGTGCCGATCCCACCTCGGGGAAAAGAGGCAGTTGGTGCTTTTCCACCCTTGTGGCCTTTCGCCGTGTAGCCTTGATCTGCGTCCACTGCATGTGCTTCCCCCCTCTTTCTCTTGTCCTGAACGCTGTTCTTGACTGGCCCCAGGGGAATCCGGCCGGTTTGTTCCTTGATCACCGACCGGGAGGTGGTCTCTTCTGCGATTAGTGATGCCAAATCCAGAACGAGTGCCTTGGCGAAGCGTTGAAGATTGCCGAGGTGACAAGCCCATCCATCACGCCCGAAGGGACCCGCCGGCGCAGGACAAGATCCGATCACTGGCTGCAGGGTGCGCCTCAACCGCGTCCAGTGCCGCACCATCTCCGCAGCCAAAATAGGAAGATCCTCCAGCATGTGCTTGACCGGGCAGTCCTTGTGTTCCACACCAGCCGCTTGGCTCGCGGCGCTTCGACCCCCATACCACATCAACGCCACGCGCATCAACTTCTGAACCGCCCCGTACTCGAACGGTCGCACCTGGTTGAACCACTTTTTCCAAAGGAGACGAAGAGACTGGATCGCTTTCCCACGCCCTTCCGTGGCACCGATCGCCGGTATCGCTATCTCGGCAATCAGAACCAGTGCTGGGCTAGCAGCGTCGGCTCGGAGACGGTCAAGCAGGACCAGGGCTTCCGAAAAGAGCAGGGACGCGCCGCGCTGGTTGCGTGTCTTGGACTCGCGTGCACCACCCGTCTGCTCGAGCCCCGCCGCAAGCATCGAGCCAGCTGTTGCCTCCAAACTACACAGATTCCCCACAATCTGCAAGATTGAGTCTAACAGTGCATCCACGCCTTCCGCCGAATCATTCACGTGTGCGCCGTTGTCGCCAGTGTTTCTCCACGACACGTGGGAGTGGGATTCCCACGTGCGGAACCCCGCATCTCTCGGGACACAGCGCACGTCCCCGATCTCGCTTGCCGTCGAACCAAGACACACCTTCCTGTGTGCGGCATCGCGCAGGCTCGGGTTTCGGAACAAGCACGCGGCGCACTCCTTCCATATGTCTAGCACCTCCTCCGCTGAACGGTCCGCGCCCTTTTGGCTTCTTTGAGGCGATGCCAGCGCTGCCTCGTCGGCTCCCAAGGTGTCGCTTGGCAAACCTTCGGCGTCATCAGCTTGGTCATCCGCGACGAGTCGGCCCAGAGTTACGCTCTCCAATAGCGCAAGCTTTGTGGAAGGTCCCACGAAATCCGTCTCACTTGCGGCCGCCAGCTCGAGTGCAACCAAGCGTTCCAGGGTCGGCAGTGTGGAGCCCCGTGCGCCAAACGCGCGTTGCAAAGCTCGCTCCATCAGCGGGTGCTTCATCACACTCTGAAGGAGCCGCAAAAGCCCTGGGGTCTCACCGCTGGGACAGGACCCGCTACTTCGTCCGAGTTCAATCGAGAGACGTCGTTCCATCCACCAGCATAACTCAAGCAGGGCGACGGGAGCTGGCCCCACCCACTCGATATGTCCACCACCACCACCGCCGACATCCCGAGCGGGACCCGATAATCGTTGTCCGACTCGACCGTTGTGGCGCTCTGGGACCCCCGCGGTCGCGTCTTCACTGATAATGCCTGCGGTGCTCTTCTCCCACAAATGCTCATGCAGCAAGAGGGAAGATTGCAGATAGAGCGCCCCTACTTGCGACGTCGCTGCGAGCCCGGCTGTTCTCCTGACCGCGGACTTTGCGTGACCACCCCTACAGGCGTTGGACCTGGAGAGGAAGATCTTCGCAACAAGACTGGCCAAGAAACCTTTCACTTTCGGAAAAAATGCTGCAGGCAGACCAGCGAGGCTGTGGGTGAGCGACAGAAGCTGCTTGGGGTCCAGCCTGCGGAAAGAAACAGAACACAGAGCAAACAAGCTGGCGTGATTAGCACAATTGATCATCGCATGGGGATAAAAAAAGGATTCGACGGCCGGCGAGCTTACGGGATTAACGGATGTGATCAGTTTACTGCAGCATCAAGCATGATATGCGATGCCCGGAAAGGGGTCCACTGTTGTCTTCGCACAAACTAACCCCCTCGGGACGCGGGTGAAGGTTAAACAAGCATATGGTGATGCATTCTGTTATCTACCGATGAAATTCGCTTCAACCGTTCGGAGGAATAATTTTTGTCGTCAGTAGACGATAGCAAAGGACACAGAGCGACGTGCACAGAAAAAAGAACATGCACAGAAAATCGCGCTTGGTACCTTTTGGGGCGACCGCCAAACAAAGTCTACATTAATGAAATTTCTGCTCAAGACCGAAACAATGGGAGAGCTCATACTGGTCACGCACCTGTTTGGCTTCGCTAACAGAGAAGAACACCGCCGAAGGAGTGCGTCGCCCAACAGCTCCAACCTCGCCGCTACCCCGACCACTTCCCCGATGCGCCGAAACGCCTGCGCCACAGACACGCCGAGAGGGCCGCTTGGCCCCCCCTCGTTCGTCATCCCCACACCAGCTTCCCGGACAACACCTTCGGCCCCAACGTTTCTGTCTAGATCTTGCTGTCGCTTAGCTAAGCCTGACTTGCCGCTCGTGGGGATTACCAGCGATGCGCCAACGGCGGCAACACAACAGTGGACGCTGTTCAGGATTGCCTCTGCCACCGCCTCCGGTGACGCGCCGAGACCCGGCAAATCGCCCTCCCGGCCGGCAGCTGGGAAACGTTGTCGTTTCCATTGGTCGAGAATCTGCCGGAGGATTTGCGTCGCTCTCGAAAACCAAGCGCGGTCAGACCTCGATTCAGGGTTGTGCCCCCTCGCTTCTCCTTCATCTTCCATACATAACTCTACGACCAACGCGCGAGGAAGAAACTCCTGCCGAGGCGTACCGCCAGTGGGGTCGTGGGGCAAGGGGGGAAATATGAAGGGCGGGTTTCGGTGTTCTCGCTGGTGGCCGTGCTGTCAAGAAAGACTAGGCCGATACGCTTGAGAGCACGAGAGAGGACTACGGACAAAGGGAGCAAGCACATGTATCGCCTTCCAACTGAGCATATCCGCACCTGGGTGGTTCGTATCGCACGGGTGTGCGCAGAAACGTCGAAATAACACGTTGTAGAAGCGATTCCCTTGGCGTACCGTCTCCTCGGTTTTTCAGGCAATCCAGGCTAAATCTTAAGCGCGACCACATATATCTCACAATTACGGACGGGGGGAGTGGTTCGCGGTAAACACAACGCACCTGGAGCAACAAAGCTAGACGCTCCTCGACACCACTGGATCCATCGTTCACGTCATCGGACTTCGCCGAAGCACGCTCGTTGAGCTTCGACTCAAGCAGCATTAGCTGCCCCGCGACCCCGGTAGCTTCCGCTTCCAATCCGGGGCTTTTCATGATGGAATTCGACACATGGATTGGCAGAAACAGCAATGGCTCAACCCAACGGATGAGTTCGATGGGAGATATTTGAGTATTTCACATGGGGGACAGAAACTATTGTGTGGCAACGCGGGCCTTCGACGGCTGCCCGGTGATGCACAACGCTACCTTGTAGCTGCTACAGGACAGACAAAAATGACGTAGGCCGTCCGTAGAGCGCACATTCAATCCGACCCACCTCTCCGCTTCATCTTGATGTCGCTGGCCTTGCAGGTACTCAACGTACGAGTTTCTGCAAGATGGTCGTGGAACAAGGGAAAACGATCAAGAGCACTTTAGTCTAAAAACTTCCCAGGAGGACAATTCCAATTATCGTTCTGCTGGTCTTCCCAACATGGCAATGTCCGCTCATATAGCGAAAAGCCATTGATGCGCCTCACCATCGCACTCTTAATAAGTCAGGCTCTCGGGAGGTACCTCTGTGAATCATTCAAGGATTCACAATTGCCCCGCCCAATCATACGACCGGGCTATATTCGTTTCTAGTGGTCCCTGCATTTAGATACTAATTGTAACCCTTTGCGGCAGATCGAGTTGCAGAACGAGGTTGACCTGAAGGACTCGTGCTCTTGGGCAGTGATGAGCGAACTCTTTGCCAGCTTCTGCACGAGCAACCGGCGGTACTTCAGAGAGACCTCGACGCGAAGGCCACCCTCCCCGCTCCCTATGGCCTCCTTCACCACGGCGCTGTCCAGAGGCAGGATCCTGCCGTTGTCATCTGCCGGAAGGAAATGTACGTAGCGAAAGCCGGTTCAGCCTGACGGCAGCAAATATCTCGCTGGTAGACCTACCGGTACAAATGGCACCACAAATAATCACACACAAGCATGGCCGAGAGAGTGGTTACGGTGCAAAACGAGGCGATAAGTTCTAGTGGCTTTGGCAGTATCCCTTCGTTTTTCTCTCTTTCCTTACACCCATACGTCCCCACTGACCTGGCATAGCGATGCGCTCTGCCGGCGGAGCAAGCAAGACCTTGCGTATTCTGGCCCAGGATTTCGGCTGGAAAACAATGAGGGATCTCAACGCCTCCGGTACTTTACCGGTTTGCTTGAATTGCCGCAGGAAAAAGCCGACCTAAAAACACGTGCATGACGGGATACACGGGAGGCGGTGGCGGCGGCGGCGGTCAGCGGCGGCCCGGAGCCACATGTTTGAAGACCCTTTGCCCGTCAAGCATCTCTAGATCTACAGCGCGTTTTGTGACCTCATGGCGTCTGTAGACGTCGGTCTAGTACAGTGTGCTTGCGGCAGCACATTTCGAGCAAGACGCCGGGTAATGCCCACCCGCCCTCAAATATCCTTACTCACATCTCGACGAAATAACGTCTACCCCTATCTCCCAACAAGATCGACAAGCTAGACTTTAGTTCATGTCCGATGAAGAGGTCTTGGAACGGCTGAAACAAAAGGCCGACTGTCCAGCACAAGGTCTTGCTTGGCTCTCCCGGCACCATCAAAAGCGAACGAAGCGCCTGCTGAGCTTCTTCTGAGCATGAAGAACATTTACCCCAAAGTAGGCACGTAATCGATTTGCAGAGGCGGGGATGTTCTCGCCTCTCGTGTGGTGGGGTCCCCGCAGTCTCTCCCCGGAAGGGCCGAATCCCTGTTGCATGACCCTTCCGCTCCCCGGGTGCGTTGACGTCCTTCCCCGCCCTCCCTGAGTCTCTGTGCCCCCCCCCGGCCGTTGAGGTCCGACAACCGGGTGACAACGAGATCGATGAAGTCTCTGACTTGGACAGAGAAGCTGGCCCTGAACGGCAAGCAGATGAGGAAAAGGTATCCTACCCTGAACACCAATGCAGAACGACTCTGCGCGACCGTCCAAATCACAAAAGGATGAAACTAAACCTAGAACATCAACTTGGCAGCAGCAATTGAAGAAGAAAGGAAAATCGCAGAGAACAAAAAATACCATTGTGTAGTACGGGTCGCCACGAATAAACGGCGACGTGCAAACCGGAAGGTCAACGTCGGCATCTCACACCGACCGAGGCACCCCGATGCCCGCTCTGTAAGTGAAGGCATCGTGCTGTAGCACAGGTGGCATCATCGAATGAGACAAGATAGATGCCTCACCCTATGCTGTACCTACTACTTAAAGCCGAGTCCAGAATACTGCAGCGAGAAACGCCAGCCTCCTAGGGCCTCCCGCATGTTGGCGGCGCCTAGGGGTGGGATTTCGAATTCGCGGGCACAATATTGTTTTCAACACGAATCAGGAGCACCTGAGTCTGGTTATGAGCACATCCTTGTGAGCCTCCAGGACGAAGACTGGGTCGTAGGGAACGGACAGGCACAGCGTCTCCATCAGCACCTCGGAGGCACGCTGCTTCTTCATGGCCTCCTGCACAGCCTATGCAACCACCGAGAGGCGAATCATCGGAGCACGTGCCGAGGGCGGGCGAAGAGTAACTTGCTCGCTTAGAGCAGTCAATAGATGTTCGATGAACACACCTGTCTACGTCCTAACACATCGTGGCACAACGCATTAGCTGCCGATGTACTATCGCCACCTGCAAGACTAAGGCCGTTCGCGACAACCTGGCCGGGTACGCCTTGTGTGTCATCTCTTGTTGGGTACGTGGACGGGTGTGTGGCCTGCCGTGAATACAGCACACACATTTGTCTCACGAGCCAACATCACCTCTGATTGCTAAACTTCTCCTTGCGAACCCCCTCTCGAAATTCTAGCCTTATACGAAAGAGAGTCAGACATCGGTTTGAACTACTGCTGGAGGGCACGCACAGCACGTGTAGGCGCAATCTTTCCGTGCAAAACCCAAACCAAAATCAAAACTAAACTATGATTGACGGGGCGGAAAAATGGTCGACCGCAAGTTCTGACACGGGTGGTTATAGCAAAATGTGAAGTGCAAAAAATCCCGAAAACCTGTAAGAAACAGAAATAACTGTGTTGTTCCCCTCTGTGGGCCCGACTGACGTGTCAAACACACATTGAAAGGATAGCACAACATGATGTACCTACGTACGTTTTCCTGCCGTGGTGTGGCTACACTTCATTCCGTCACTAGTATCGGACTAAACATGTACCCTCCAATCAACGTCTGCCACCATGCTTCACAGACCTCCAAGCAGGAGAGCTGCGGGCGTTCCCCATGCGGCTCCGACGCCCGTGTCCCCTCCTGCGGGGCAGGCATGGCTTCTGCCTGGTCGACCGGTTTCGCAGCGCCGCCGGCAACACCAAGGCAGCTTCGGACCCACTGGGCGTACAACCCACCGCCCTCGGCAGCTCCCTTGTCGGTGCCGCCCCGCGAACACACGTCTGCTTCAGCCACCAACCGGAAAGCCGCTGACAGCACGAGAACTCCTTGCTGCTGGTTAAACCCGGTTGGCCGACTGTTTCCTGAGGGAACGGCGTTGACTGCCGCTGCCGCCAGCTCGGTCCCAATGTCGGCTACCGCGGCCGGTACTTCGTCAGCGTGCGCAGTCGATGCGGCGCGCACAACAGGCCCCAACGTCTCCCAACGCAGAAGAGGCTGTTGAGGGGAAATAATGAAGCAAGTGGAGAAGGACGAATGACCACCGTGGGGTTTCACGACGACGACACACAAAACCCTACGTCGCTTGTGGCCCCGTTGGTGGCCGTTGATCGGTCCTTGCTATGATACATTCGCGACGTGCAGCAGCAAAGAGCGGGAGGACGACGACTCTTCGTGCGGCTCCGCGAAGACGACAATTGATCAAGCACCACAGCGAGGACCCTGTGCGACCCACGCTAGATCGCTTTACTGTCATAGCCCCGAGGGCACATCATCACGTATTGGGCAGCGTACCACCCACAAGTTGGATGGTTGAGAGGCGCGGACGGCACAAACAACGGTGCTTCACCACGCTGCTCCATGAGTACGAAACGCACGACCGAACCCCCTCGAACGCCCAAACCTTGCGCATTTCGATCATGAAGAGGCAAAAAAATGAAGACATCGCCTACCTTGTGGAGGCGCCATCCCGCGGCGTCGGCAGCTTTGTCGGCAGCTTCGCGACAGATCGATCGCAGTGCCTCAATGATGTGGGCTGAGGGGAAGTGTCGCAGGATAGCCGCCAACAAACCGCTCATAGCACCGTCGCGGACGTCAGCCGTCTCCGCTGCCTCGAGCACGCCTGTGTCCCCGCCCAGCGCGTGCTCTTCGAGATTGAAGGAACGGAGTTTGAGCAAGAATGGGCGCATCTAGACAATATCGGGGAAAATACAATTGGACGGCAACTCCACATGCAACTTGAAGGTCACACAAAAAAGCCGGTGTACCGACAAGCCTTGGAACAGACTGCCCCACGAACAATAGGGGCATGGGTAGTTGATGTCGGGCCATAGTAGTCATGCCGGACACGGCCAGCCCATCTCCCGGCACCGGCCTACTGGCTTCGACGTTTCCGACGGCACGACGGGGCCCTTACCAATCTGTCCTGAAGAATTTTCCATCAGCAGCCGCAGCTGCCGGGAGAGAAATGCGGCCGTGGACACGTCTTGCCCCATTGGAATCCCCGTCACGATACACGCGCCGCCATCTCTTGCCGCTGCCCCGGCGGATTCGTCCTCCAAGGCAGCCGCGGCTGAACCAGGTCCGCGAGGGACTGCTGGAGTCGCTACTGGTGAAATTGCCGCAAGTACCGACAAACAACCACGCAATCTCGACTCTTGTCCTTCCATCCTGCTGTTTGCGCTGTGACAGAAGTGGTCGAACGGATACGGGGC